CACAGCGCCACTACATTTGTGTACACTACATTTAATTAGGATACCCAAAAACCCCAAGGGTGGCAACACTACCTTGGTCGGGGGCACACTTTCCCTTATTTTTTCCACCTGCTGGTTTTTTGGGGATTTCTTTTCCGGCTTTGGTGCACTTAGTTTTCAAATCTTTGAAACATCTGGTAAGTATTAACACTGAATAAATGGGACAGTGGCTTCGCTGTCCAACCCACCCAATCTAGTCACCATGTGTGTCTGGATGAGTAGAGGGGGCAAAATCTTTCTCATTCACACAAAGAATAAACCAGAACCAGCAAGGGTAGATCAAGGAAGTAGATCAGGGCTCATACCCTTTTTCAGAAACAAATTTCCAGGGCTTTTTCAGGACTCAAGATAGATTTTTCCAGGACTCTAAAATTCACATTAACCCTTTCACTCCCAAGATCTTAATGTTAATTCTCCTAACTGTCTGCCATATATTTCATACTTTTTTACTTGAGTTTAACAGATTTCCAGAACTTTCCAGGACAAGTAGCCCTTTTCCAGGACTTTCTAGTCCTGGAAAATGCCACAATAAAATTCCAGGACTTTCCAGGTTTTCCAGGACCTGTTCGAATCCTGGTTGCAGAATTAATGGGACACGCCCCTGGCTCGTCCCCAGTCATCTTCATACAGGAGAGATACAGCGCAGGGAGACATGAGTACCAAGAAAGGGAGCACAAGGTGAGATGGGTAGGTCGTCCCCTGCTCCTCCACCTCGCGCGCTGCCGTGTGCTATATGAAGACAACTGAGGACAAGTCAGAGACATGCCCACAAAATATTGCTTTTTGCGAATTGAGACCTACATGTTATCGAAAACTATTACACCAGAAATACTAGCAATGCCACAAAGTAGAAATTGCAATGAATTATTAGGTACGTTTTCAGAGTGTTTGCTTTTTTTCTACGATAATCATAACCATAATATTTTTCACTTTTTTTTTATTTTTTTATTTTTTTTTTTTTTGCTTCTCCATAAAGGGGTGGCTAGCCACTCAATCCAACCCTTACCCCCAAGTCTGCTTCTAAACCAGCCAAAATATTTGAAGCAGATGCTAAATTACCAATTGGTATTTAAAAAAAAACTATGGGATTGAGATTAACATGTTGGCTATATTTCCCGAGAAATAACTTAACTTTTTCCATCTACACTGTAGCTATCAAACAAGCAAAGCGGCAGCCTGTCTACAATATCAAATTTAGAACCTATTGTATCTAACTGACCAAAACAGAGTACTTAATGACCTTGCAACTGACTAACAAAGAGGCATACTGTGTAGGGTCGTGTAGTGATCTCCAATTTTAAGAGCTACTGCAAGTATTCAAGAATAGACGCATCAGTTCAGCTTTTATTTCCAAATTTTGTTACAATTTGGTTATTTTAGTTTGAAACATCTCAGTATAGATGATATACAACTAAACTTGGTCATACTGAATTCAGTTGCAATAGGCCACTTTCAATATATTAAAATTCAGCTCGATAGTGAGGCCTAGAAGACGCAAACAAAAGAAATGATTTAACGACAGAAACGATTTATTGACAGCTTACTTCTACAGTTGCACTGGCTTGATTACAGGAGAGGTATAACATGAGGACTAGCAATGAAACCATGAGCTTTCATTGCTAATTCACTGTACCCTTCGGAGATAATCTTCCAATTACTAACAAAATATCATTGGGAACTAAATATTACAAGTGAAGTAAATGGTGAATGTAACAAGGTGTTTTAAAGCCATTTCAATGGATTTCTGATATCAATGCAACTGATTGTAGCAATTTTCGAGGAGCAAGACAATTTAAAATAGAACATTTCACGATGAAAAATTTACTTATAATGGCATCTGTGGTTTCACCATCATCAGGCTAACGCTCTTTCGGTTATATCTCGTCATTTTGTCCTACAATACCTCCAAAATATGGTGTTTTTTTGCTGTTTTAGTGCTAATAGCACTTGGCAATTCAGTTAAAAGAAACATCCTTGTGACTTAGTGCTATAAAAAGGTATAAAGGTCATCAGTGTGCTCAAGTTTTCAAAGCTATTTTGATTTATATAATTCATGTACATGTATTCATGCATAGCTAGAAGGAATGTCAACATCATGTCAACGGATGTAAGTGTATGGGTTGAAATAAAACTTTGAATTTCAGATTAGAAATTATAATCATGCATTTGTAGCCAAAATACCATCTGGGATGAGTACTGCCTTGCTAAGTTCTAGACCCGTAAATCCTGAGGAGCTTTCCACCAAATTAAACAACTGAAATCCATTTTGGTTTGCAACGTTTCCAAACATGCAAATGCCCGCAAGGAGGGAATTAATTCCACCTTAAGCACAAACAGATTTCCTTTGTCTACGTTTCGTACAAAACAAGATATATTCCTCTTTTCGGGATCCTCCATTTTCTCTGGGGGCCCGTAAACTTTTTTTTTATATTCAACACCGGCCCAGAACCTAGCTTTAAAACCGAAACATTGTCCTCAACAATGTTCATTTTCTCTGTTGTCACATTCTCTAAACATACAACATCGTTACCCCGCAACGGCATCTCCTTCACGATTTGACACTCATCGTGGCTAGCTAACACCTGACGAACAAACTACTACCATCTTACGTGAAGCACAGCAGATTTATCATATGATTTACCTTTCTCTTTCTCGGAAAATAAATCAAAAAAGGTGTCACTGTAGCGTTTTACGAGCCCACGAAAGGCACGAAACAACACACTTGATTCAAGCATCTATTCCTTCACCAGCCAAGTTTGACTCAAAGTAATCAGAAAAAGCTCCCTGATCCTTTCTGCAGACCCTGTTGACAATATCAATTTCTGACAGCGCTTTCCCGAGAGGGTTTGTGGCTTGAATTGTCGCTCTTAAGTGGTTTTGAAAACAGTCTCTCAGCAAAAAACCGCCATTATGTAAACAAACTTACCTCAATGCGCTGATTCCATATTTGGGCAAAAAAATTCCGTGGTTCTGATTGGTCGGCTAAAAAACCCCAGCTTGTTACGAATTTAGACGCTTCGAGGTGATATGCTTCTGATACTTAATTCGTGACAGCGGTTAATTTAGCAAACTAAGTAATTACTTTTAAACTGGTCGTCCTAAGAAATTTTTTTTTTTGGAACGAAAAGCAGGAGGAAGTGTAATGGTCAGTAATTGGTGTGTCTCTTTCGTAGAGCGTAGATGATAGAGAGGATTAAATTAAAAGACTGAATAAATCAAAAACTCATTGGTTGTCGAAATTAAAAGTGAAATATCAATGAATTAACATTGAAACTAATTCATTTCGCCTCCCAATTTGGTTCTAATTTTGTTTATTTTTTTGCGTCCGGTCTTCAAATTTCCTCAATTTAATTGTCAAAAATACACGGCAGCTGCTTCAAACTTTGTAACGAATGTTCTCAGTTCAACTAAGCCAGTAGAGAAGGTGTTTTTTTTGTTGTTGTTGATGTTGTTGTTGTTGTTGTTGTTGTTGTTGTTGTTTTTAATTGATCCCCAGCAAACTGATTTAAGGCTATGTAGACCTTCAAGGGCCTATTTTGTCCAAAATTATTTTTTTACACCAAATTCAACACTTTTACTTTATCTGAATTTTCCAAAAAAAATTATTTTAAAAACTTAGAACGCGAACGAGTTATACACAAAAATGTAAATTCTTAAAACGAGTCAATGAACCGCAAACTGTGATAAGCCAATTAAAATGTCTCAACCTTTGAGTTGAGCATTAACAATTTTCGCGCAACTGATCTCATCCACGGAGTCGTATTTCGCTTCTTTTGTTTACATCTTGCAATTTTTCGCATAGAAATCTTCGCTTTTGTTGATTGTTTTCGCCTCTTAAGTGATAGACTAGGCGCTTCGCATTCCCACATTTAAACGCAAGCGCAAATCGCAAGCTAATGTTTCGTCGTTGCCCTGCTCTAACTTCTGGCACAAAAGTTGATTGCCGCGGAATTACCGACGAATTTAATCGCTGACATCTGACAAGGCAGCTTCTCCAAACGCTCCTTTCCCCTGCTTTATAGAGTGTTTTTCCATATTCTACTAAAACAAACAGGCCGATGAATTGCACGTTTAGTTTTTTTTCGTAAATGTGTAAATATCCGCACTCGATTCGGCTCGCCGAGTAGGCCTGTTCAAGGCTATTCCGCTAGCATTCCTCTTTTTTCTCTTTTGCTTCTTTACTATTTATCTGCTGATTCGGTTTAGATGCTGAATTGTTCACGGCAGACGATGTAAGATATAACGGATATACTGTAAATGTAAACATTGCACATTCATTCCCGGGAAGCGTTATTGTAGCCCGCCGCGGCATGGCCACGTAAACAACCGCTTCAGTGAGGTGCGAAAACTGTGACTTTCTTTCGAGGCCGAAAACTTAATGTTTATTTTTGCGAGAATTACCTCTATTCAAATGAATTAATAGCGTATGTAGATTTATCGGATTTCCACGAAACTTGGCCAAAATGTTCGTCAGATATTAGCGCACCAAAGGGTGTGAGGCTTTTGCGAAAATCGAAATATTTTTCCTGTGATGTCCAATGAGGTAACAACAGTCAGAAGATTTTCCATTGTCCAACTTTGAAAGAGATTTTCTAAGCAACCAATAGAAATATCGAAAAAGCCTCACACACTTTGTTAGCCCATCATCTCCTGACTGATAATGTCCAGTCGGTTTGGATGTCCGCGCTAACACAAAGGCTGGTAATTCAGTTTAGCAAGTACGGTCATTTTTGCGTTTTTAGGCTTGCGCGTGCCTATCAAAACAAAAATAGCAAAATATATTGCTATTTTCGGATTCCACAGTTTATTAGCTTTACATTGATATATAGTTTGCCGGGGTTTTCTTTAAAGCAGCGCGTAAAGAAAGCATTTTCCGAAAGGCACCCCTGAAGGTCTGCAGTAACCTTAACTGATAATGTATTTTAGCAAATGTATTTTACCCTAACCCTAAATAAGACGCCTTTGATAACTTTAAAATCAATAATAGCCTTCTAACAGCTAATTATTTGCATTTTTACCTGTTTCAGATCCATTTTTCCATCACATAAACATCCCAGCAGCCTAATACACTTCATTTGGAGTCTTCCGCAATAGCTCTTCAGTACGTCCTCTTAACTCTGACAAAGTGTGGGCTTGAAGATGGAACGTAAGGTCATTTTCTTTCGAAGAATGGGTATAATATGGTTGTGGCTCTTCACTGTTGCTCAAGCAGTATCTAAGGACGGTGATTTCATTCTTGGTGGACTTTTCAATGTTCATCAATTTCCCGCAGAGAATTCAAAAGGGCAGTGTGGTGAGCTTGATACGAAAGGATTAGGCCGGGCAATGGCCATGATCTTTGCCATTGAAACCATTAACAACAATTCAAACCTACTTCCAAATATAACTCTTGGCTATGACATACGAGACTACTGCGAAAATGCCACAAAAGCAATAGAAATGACTTTTGAGCTAATAAAGGACAGCACTTGCTCGAACAAAACACGCAGGAAAATGGAAACGAAAAGTCCTTTAATTGCCTTCATCGGCCCATTCGAGTCTCGCACAGCTCTAGCTATCAATGGATTTCTTCAAATTCTCGATGTCCCAGCCATAAGCGGAACAACAACGAGTCCTGAACTGAACTCAAACACATATAGTTATTGGTATCGAACAGCACCTACAGATACCTTTCTGGCAAAAGCCATGGCCGACATTATCGAACACTTCAAGTGGACATACGTGGCGGCTGTTGGACTCGATGACTCATATGGACGAAATGGAGTGAGGTCCGTAATCAAAGAAGCCGCAAGAAGGAATGGTTCCTTCTGTGTTGCTATGAAAGAATTCATACCTCTTGAAGCCCAGTTACCGAGTATTAGAAACATCGTCTCAAGCCTACGACGCCAGGAAAACATCAGGGTCATCATATTGTGGACATACGGTAGTCATGAAAGGAACTTTTTCAGTGAGGTAAACAGACAAAACCTGACCGGACGAGTTTGGATTCTTAGCGATGTATCCGTCACTTTAAAGACTTTTGTCTATTCAGACACTTTCACCATAAACGAATCTATAGGTTTTCAACCACATCGTTTTACTGACACAGGATTTACGGAGTATATAATAGAGTTGTTAACTAAGGGAACAAATAGGCAGAATGTTCCAGAATGGTGGAGCGAAGCTAAGGCTCTCACAAGGTCCTGCCCAACTCGTAAAAAGACTGATACTCACCAAATTGAAGTATGTATACAGGGTGTGGTTCAAGACATATTAGGGTCCAATATTCCATATGTCATTGATGCTGTATATTCCGTTGCACATGCCATACAAATAGGCTTAGCTCAAGCTAGTACCAGTATGACTGATGACCATTGCCAGCAAGAGCTTAGCATTGATCTTCTTGATATGAGGCGGCTCCTTTCCAAAATTAACTTTATTGGACTATCTGGAAATGTAACGTTTGACGAATTTGGCGACAGGGAATCTGCGGTCTACGACATTGTCAAGTTCCAACAAGTGCAAGACACTGACGGTAAGCTTCAACTAAAACAGACCATCGTCGGAAAATGGGAAGCGAATGGGCAAAGCAGCAAAAGGATGCGTCATTATAACAAAATGCACTGGAATTCCGCCAACGATAGCGCTCCGAAATCTGAATGTCTGGACCAATGCCCGGAAGGAACTAGAAAATCCATTACTTCGCCTTGCTGTTGGCAGTGTGTCCGATGTCCTCGTGGCACTGTCAACACCTTTTCTGGTTCCGAAAACTGCATTGAATGTCCCCGAGGAAAGCTTTCTAATTGGGCTAGAACAAAGTGTGTAGACTTGCCTTTGATCAATATTAAGTATTCTAGTTTTGGAGGGATAGTAGTCCTTGCATTTTTAGCTTTGGGCGTGCTGGGCACCATTTTTTCATTTGCCGTTTACTGTCGCTTTTGGAACACTCCAATTGTCAAGGCATCCAACAGAACACTAAGCCTTGCTCTTCTTGCAATCATTTTGATGATGCTGTCTCTGACATTAATGAATCTCCTTGAGCCTACAGATACGATTTGCAAGATTATTTATCCATGGCGATACATAACTTACAACCTCTGTCTTTCGATCCTGCTGGTAAAAGTCTTGCGAATTTCCAGCGCTTTTCAAATTCCAATAACGCTATGCTGCACCATACCCTCGTTTACCAATAGAGTGCAAGTAGTGGTAGTAATAACTCTACAAGTTATTCTGCTTCTTGTTTTACTACCTTGGTTGCTTCTGGATCCGCCTGTCAGTACCAAGCATATCCTGACAGACCATTACATTTTTATTGAATGCAAAGCGTACAACTACTTGACTGGAAAAATCCTGTTTTTGTTAACGTTCTGTTGTGTTTTACTTCAAATGTTGCTGTGTGCATTTAGTTCCTTTAAGATAAGGAACATTCCTGAAAACTTCGGTGAAGCGAAGCGAATAGCCTTTTCGATGTACATATTTATGTTTTCATTGCTAGCGTATCATCCGGTAGAGTTTTCAATGGATGGATGGTATGTGACAGTTGTGGACTGCGTGACAACTCTTTTGACTTCTTATGGTTTTCTCTGCTGCATATTCTTGCCAAAATTGTATATCATCATCGTTAGACCGGAGTTGAATAATTCAAGTACATTAAGTCAACAGGTGACCAATTACTCATTTGGTATCAGCTCTGTCCGCGCGAATCCTGCTTTAAACAGTTCAACACTGTGAGGAAAAAATCCCAATACTATATCAGTCATCCAACAGAAAAGCACTTGTTTGAAATTAGAGGAGATTTTATAGAGTATATTTAATGTATATTATATTCAGTAATACTCGGACAAAAGTAGAAATCATAACGAGTACAGTGATGATAACAAATAAACAAGTCATTCCACTTCTGAAATTGACACTGGTTCCATTTGTCCCCCCCC